GCATCCAGCTCTGGAGCCCCCAACATAGGAAGGACATGGATGTGTTTGAGCGGGTCCAGAGGAGGGCCACAAAAATGATCAGAGGGCTGGAGTACCTCTCCTACGAGGACAGATTGAGGGAATTGGGGCTGTTCAGCCTGGAGAAGAGAAGGCTCTGGGGGGACCTTACAGCAGCCTTCCAGTACCTGAAGGGGGCCTACAGGAAGGATGGAGAGGGACTTTTCACAAGGGTGTGTAGTGATAGGACAAGGGGGAATGGCTGTAAACTAAAAGAGGGCAGATTTAGATTAGATATTAGGAAGAAATTCTTCACAATGAGGGAGGTGAAACACTGGAACAGGTTGCCCAGAGAAGCCGTGGATGCCTCTTCCCTGGAAGTGTTCAAGGCCAGGTTGGATGGAGCTCTGAGCAACCTGGTCTGGTGGAAGATGTCCCTGCTCATGGCATGGGGGTTGGAACCAGATGATCTTTAAGGTCCCTTCTAACCCTTGCCATTCTATGATTCCACGAGAAAGGAAGAGGAGACTTACACATTTGTGCTGTTAAATACAATCAGCTTCTCTTCTGCAGAATCACAGTTGTGTCCTAAGTTTATATGCACCTCCAAATAGCAAGTATGGTAGTGTGTTATGACTCATGTTTGGGGTTGTTTTCTATAAATACAAGTGTAATTGTCCTCCTGAATACAAGCTCATTTATTAGTTGAAGCTTCAGTTTCATAGAACATTTGGCTGGAAAAGATCTAATGTCATTTAATCTATGTTCTGCTCCAAGGCAAGATCAACTCTAGTTATCTAATTCCTATCTGAGGCTTGTCTACAATGACAGGAGATTCAAGACATCAGTAGGCAACATATTCCATGGCTTAGCTTAAATCACCATCATTGTAACAAAGGCTTTCCCTTTTCAAAGTCCACTGTGAAAGAGTTACTTTTTTCCTCCTTTGCATCAACCTTTTATGCATTTGAAGATCACTACTGTATTTCAGCTGTCTTCTCTCAACAATCCCAACTGTTTCAACCTTCCTCCGGGGTCACATTTTTGAGATCTATGATCATTCATGGCACTCTCCTCTGATCACTTTCTAGTGGGTCCACATAATTTTTGAATTGTGGAGCCCAAAACATCACGCAAATGTGAAAAGCCATAATGCTCTCAAGCCATACAACTTTTGCTGCTTCTCTGAAACACACAGGACTTGTGTGAAACGAAATTAGGTTAGTTTTGTATGATACACATTTGGCAAATCTATGGTGCTGTTACTCATTTCCTTGTTTCTTCCTACACTGTTAAAACAATTTATTTAATTATTTGTTTCAGTAGTTTTCTAGAAAATGAAGTTAAACTCACTGATCTATAATTCCTCGTCCCCTCCTTGTTTCCACTGTGAAAAAGAGGCATTATGTTTGCCTTTGTCTTGTCTTCCAAGAACTCCTTCACGTCCCACAGACTTTCAAGGGCACTTGCTAACAGTTCTGCAGCACAGGCCTGGCTGAAGCAAAGAACCCTGAGATGAGTTTCGCTACAAACTGACCTGGAAAACATCTTGCCTAAGTCCCGATTTGTTCTACCCCTGTTTCAGGCTGAGTTCTTACCTTTGTTATTGACACCAACCGTGTTTCTCTTTGACAGATACAGTCTTGAAAAGGCATATATTCAGTCACATATGCTTTATCAAACACATTTTTGTATTTTGAAAACCAGTAAGAAAATATTCAAGCATGAGTCATTTCACTGACTGAACATAATGGATGAAGCAGTAGCAAGTGGCTGTAAGAATAACTGATTTGGCAGTATTTTGTGAATTTCCATCAGAACATCTGAGTACCACTAAGGGTTCGTAAGTGACACGTATCTCAATGATGTTTTGATAAATGAATTCTAATTAATAAAACTATCCAAAATATCTGCAGACTTAAAATAAACACATACATTTTGCTCATGTTAAGCAACGTGATTTCTGAATACACTACATGCTTTGATTTTCACTTGTACATCCCAGCTTTTATGTATAAGATTTTACTGTGAGATTGGGCAGATATACCTTACAATGTTTTCAGTAACAAATCTGAAATTTTGTCAATATTGGATTAGGCAACAGAACAGAATAAGAACAGAAAGAAGAATCCAGCTTTCCATAAATAAGGTGGTCTTACTGTATAACCATTAAAATCTCAGCTGAGAAGACTATGTTGCCTGCCCTGTAATATGTATGTATTTTATCTGTGCAAGAATACTACCCTACTATCAGTATCATACTGGTAGCATTACTTGTCACACTAAAACCAAAACCATTTAAGCAGAAAATCCAGCAACCAACAACTTTTTTTTTCAACACAGCAAGGTATGAATGCTACTGTTGTTTTGCTCAAAAGCTTATCTCCTGACTTACCCAGGGTGAGGGATTTGTGTGTGGAACAGAAAATTATAGCCACTGTGTCTGCTGGTGTGAAACTAGAGTTATTCCTAGAAAAGAAAGAGTTTTAATAACATCTGATAGCAAAAACCTTCTTAAAACATCATTGATCAAATGTATTACTTTGAGGATCTATATGCACTTTCACATCACTTTCATCAGGTCTAGTGACAGAAATAATTCTCTCCACAAATGAACAGTACTGTTTGAAATTTTTCTTAAAAAGCAGAATTGTTTCTCAGTTGTGGCAAACTCTCTAATGAATATGCTCACGTGTGAAGGAGAGGTATTCTGAACACATGGTATGTAGGACACAACTTTATTCCAGTCAAGGTTATTTTTGCAAACATGCTATATCACAGCAGTGGCCAGCTTGCCTCTGTAAAAAAAAGTGACCTACAATTTCTTCTCCTAGCATGAAATGTTAACAAAATGCTCAATTTAGAGAGCATATTCAGTCTACACTATGAACACTGCTTAGAACACGTAGTTTATCTTCCACTTCAGAGAAAACACGCATATAAGGGTTTACATACTGGGAGTAAGGCCAGGAAGGATGGAAAAATGACATACAGAGAGAGGTATATGACTGGCCAATGGATCACCTTTTGGTCCAAATCAGGAGGCATTTTATGAGATTCTAAGTATTTACCATACTGCGTTGACTACTACTTAAGGCATTTTAGATTTTACAGTGGGGACATATCTTTCCCCCAGGTTAGGTCTAGTAGTTGAAATGTTATTTCAAAATGCTTTCTCAGATCAGAGTATGATCCTCTCACAGAGAAATTTTCTTGTTGCACTAAAAAAGCATAAGTAGCTCATTGCACCCTTCTTTGCGATTCTCCCTTATGGATATTGTGTAATTTATATAAAGCATATGTCTGGAATCTGCTGTATTGTTGCACTTCCCATTCAGCAGAGTGCTGCTAAGAAAAATACTCCAGTAAGCCTAAGGGAGAGGACAGTGGTGGATACTCTGACCAGCTCAAGTGATGCACTAAGCCACTGGCTAACACCATTCCCATGGTACCATTTTTTGAGAAGTGAATGTATAACTGTTCTTCCTGGTTGATATTTAAAAATAAAAAATAGAGCTCTACAAAACATTAGTTCAAGACAACTGTCTTTTAAGAATCACCATATAAACATAACACATTTGACATATACAAAAAAGAGTGAATTGCCAGCCCAGCAAATGTATCTTGAGATGTAAAAAGTCAAACTGAGTTCTCTCTCTCATATGTCATCAGCATGTCTGCAGGGCAAATTATACCTTCAGTGACATCTGTGCAAATCCATTTTTTTCAGTGGATGAGGTATAGCAGTGATTGATTGAGATTTAACAACTCTGTAATTAACACACAAGAAAGGACAGTATTCAGGTCCTGCTCTCTTAGCCTATGAACCTCTAACAGAGAAAGTGCAGTAAGGACAATATGAAATACCAAAATGAGGTCACCCCTATTCAGAAACTGCCCTTACACATTTGCATAAACTGTATCACCCAAACCAGAGATTTCACACAAAACAAATATTCAAAGATTCTGATTCAGCACATTCAAATACCTTGTAGAGAAGAGGAAAGTCAAAAACATGAAGCTCATCTGAACAGAAAATACTGAAAGAGAAACAAGTTACAGTTAGACTTGAGATCACAGAAGCAAAGATCACTTAAATCTCTGCAATTGCTGCGTACGTGCATTTTGCCCCCATACAACAGGTCAGAAGCTAGGTTGGACCAAGTCTATCCAGAGAAATCCAGTGACAGACAACCTTTAAAGACAAGCATGCCTGGAAGAACAACACATCTCACTACATCCAAGAAAACCAGAGCTAATACCATGGCTACACAAATTCTTCCTGAGGTAACTCTTCTAAATGAAGTATTTCTTGACACGATGAATGGCAGGAAAGTTTACCACTGCATGCTGCACATCTGTTTGCACTAGTTTTGCTTATTGGGTTGACAATATAAAATCTCTCAGACATGCTTTGGCTGCCAAGTATTTAAATTTAGTCCCTTTCTATTTAACAGGAGAAAATACAATGTGTAAGCATTATCACAACAAATATTCTCACACACTGGGTATATTAGTCTCCTGATGAATGATCACTGTTAAGGCAAGATCATCACAGATGCTTTAATTCTCTCTTTAATTTCTCTCTTAGAGAAAGGCTAATTCCTGAACTGGGCAGTGTACATCAGATAAAACAGCTTTCGTTCAAGCTCAGTCAGCTTTGTAAGTGTGGAGGGTTTTTGAGCATCCTGAGAGGACCTCTCCCCTCTGCCAGCTCTCCTGACCCCCCCAGGGGTTGGGGGATGCACAGAGGCCACTCTTGGTTTGCAGAGATGTGGGGAGAAGCAGGCGCCTTCTCCGCTGTGCCCTGAATAGCTGCTGGGACTGCAGATACCGAGCATCAGGCCAGAGCACAGAACTCCCCACAGAGCTGGAGGAGAAACCCAGTGACCTGCACAGACCTTTTCTGGGGGTTTGTGAGTTATGGGAGAAGGGCTTTTACTTGCAGCAGAATCTGGGGTGGCTCTTCCTCACAAAACTTGTGGATGCAATAAGGCTAATGTGTCCCATAGGGTAGTGCAAGCCAAGACAATACATTTGATTTAACCCCAGTTTACAACTGGGCAACGTAGCAGTGATATTAGCTATTACCAGTGACATTTTCCATTCTCTTGCATACATTTCCTAGGATGTATAAATGTCGCCTCAGCATGCACTTAATTCTTCCTTCATGAGCTAAGTAAGCAATCCATTGTTCCTGAATTACAATTTTTCTGCAACTAAGTGCATTAATTTAATATGCACAGGAAAAAAAAAATCCCTTAATACGTATAATTCTGTAAAGCAATAAGCATGTGTTGCTACCAATTATCCTTTGTGCATATTCTGCTGTGGCTAGAATATTAATATAAAAATTATATAAAAACATTAATCAGTAGAATAATAAATGCAGTTTCATCTCAAACTCCTTTTGCTAATTTCACGTCCTCATATAACACAACACACACATCCAGCCAACAGATCCAATGGCAGTACAGAAACTTTTTCTAGAATACAATGTGCATATCCATCTCCACAACTTCCTTGGTTTTTGGTTTTATAAATATTTCAGAAAGAAACAAATGCCTAGTATGTTCTGAGCAGTTTCAATGCTTATGCTAATATTCTTACTAAGAAACTCCAGTTAAGCACACTGGCAATAAAAATGTATATATAATGATTTTCAGTGTATTGCATTGCAAGCAGTATATATAATTACACATGGCACAAATGCAGAATTGTCTCCCAGAGAAATAAAAGAAAGGACAAGAAAGGCTATGAAAGCAACCACTCTACACCAACTGTTCCAGGAAGAACACGCCTTTTAAACTAAAAAAGACCTTTTTTTCAAAGTAGCGGTCAGCACAGTAACATAAAATTACCTCATTCTGAGTTTCTCTACATGTTAAGTCAAAGTTGAACATTTCCATATCCCTCTTATTTGCTGACAACTCTGCACTGATTTACGTGCATCGAGGATGCATTCTTTCTCAGGTGCCTAGAGAAACAAGTATTTCCTCCATTTGGAAAAAAGCTCCCTAGCATGGCTTCCTCCTTCTTTGCCTTCAGAATAATTTATACAGCACCATTTATAATTCCATATAGTATTTTACATGTGTAGCATTTCATAATCCAAAAACCTGCCACAATTGGAATAGAATATGAAATGACCCACAAAAGGCAGGAGCAAAATTCCTACTGACTTTAGTGGAGGTTGGATTTATAGAAGATATGTTATTTTTATTAGACAGAAATGTCCACATACACACATTTCAAGGTAGATTTCAAGAAATCAGTACATCATCTAACAGTTTTAGAGTGTATGAGATGTGATTTATACTGTAGTATACTGCAGTTACCTGTCCCTGAAGCAAACTGAAACTCCTGTCTCTAGACAGCCTGAAGCAAGATGGGAATTCCTTACTGGGAGAGGAGACAGTGCCTGCATACCATTGCCTCTCCCGGGGAGGCAGCAATCTGCATGTCCTGGTTTCGGGTGGGATAGAGTCAATTTTCTTTCTGGTTGCTGGTGTAGCACTGTGTGAATTTGGGATGAAGATAACGTTGATAACATACTGATGTTTCTAGTTGTTTCTAGGCAGTCAAGGAATTTTCAGCTTCTCAAACTGGCCTGGCCTGTCAGGTGGACAGGAAGCTAAGGGGGGACACCGCTGGGACAGCTGACCCAAACTGGCCAGAGGGATATTTTATTCTGTATGATGTTATGCTCAGTATATAAGCTGGGGGGAGTTGGCTGGGGGACAGCAATCATTGCTTGCGGACGGGCTGGCTGTCGTTCACCCGGTGGTAAACAAATGCATTTGTGCATCACTTATTTTGTATATACATTATTATCATCATCTCTTCCTCTTGCTTTCCTATTGAACTGTCCTTATGTCAGCCCATGAGTTTTTACTTTTTCCCATTCTCCTCCCCATCCCACAGGGGAGTGAGCAAGCGGCTGTCTGGTGCTTAGTCGCCAGCTGGGGTTAAGCCACAACACTGCAAGTGTATTTTTAACTGATGGCAAGAATACCAGCAGCCTATTCTCATGTGCGTGTTATTTAAGGCTGAATGACTAGAGTGCTTCTGCAAGAAATGTGTTCATCCACAGAAATGTATCAACAAATTCGAACTCCCAACTAGTTTCTAGGTTTATAATACAGTAAGGAAGAACTACATAAAAGTTCTAATGGTGCTTTTGAGTAACAGCTCAAACCCACATCTTTCCTTTCTGTTTGGAATGCAACGTGTGTGCATTTATGGTTGTTTAATAACAAAAAAGCCAAATCAGAATGGTCATAAACTCTTAGAAAGTAATATCGTGCTTCCTTAGAAAGGAAGGACCACTGAGCAATCTCAGGCCCACCTAAACAGCAGAGTCCATCCCCCTCTAAATGCTTACTCAATCCCTTAAAAGCATCCAGCCTCTAAGAAGTCTGGAAATCTGGTTTACTAGACGCACCAAAAGTAAAAGCTCGAGCCCCATGCCAACACCCCCACAGACCCACCCCTTCCAGTACCTATAGCTCATTACACACCTGAAACAGATAAAAGAGATGCTTTAATGCTGAACTTACTTATGAACACTATCACAATCAAGCTAAATTTATCAAGGTCAATATTTGGATTGGCAAAAGTATCACAGAATGTTGTGTAGATGATCATCAGGAGCACACAGCTGCTGATAGCGCCAAATGGAGGCTTCTTCCTTTCAAGCCAGTCCTTGATGTATCTTCGGACAATCTGAAACACAGAAACCAACAGGTTGCCTCTTTTCAAAGATGCAGGGAGCCAAGTTGGGCGTCACAAAGTGAATCTGACAGTGGAAACACACAAAGAGAAGAGAGTAATTTGGATGACGGCCACAGTGGATTTCAAAGCTTCCCTGCCACACAACTCTTCTTCTGGGGAATTTAACATTTGTAGTGCAACTTCCACTGGGCGTCCATAATGAGAGTATATTTTCAAGTACGTTCAAATCCATCCTTAATCATGCCAAATGTTCTTTGCTAGCTGTCACCGAGACATGCCCATTAAGCCTCCCCAAAGTTTATCTCCTCTGCTGATACTAATGGATGTATGTAATTATCACAGTCCCCTTTGCATCAACAGACAATTCCAAGTGCAACTTTGGGAATCTTAAAAATCTGACATCTTCAGGAATTTCATGATGGTAGATAATCGAAAGTGATCCATGGAACATTTTAATATTTAAATAGCTAGCAATGCACCAGAAGTTTTTAATTAAATTATAACTCAAGCTTGAAAAGCAAAAGTGCATGTGTTGTGGGACTTTAAATAATTCAAACTCTGAATATCTAGAGTTTTTGTAAATCCAAAGACAAATAACATTTGCATGCTTTTAGAATACCAGAATTAACACATGAAAACAAGGAAACCTACTGTACTTTACGGAACTTTTGCACTTCCAGGAAACAGAATCTGAAGTTGTTTTTCAAGAATTTTTTAGAAACAACTATAAATTTTAAAGTAACTTCAACTTTCAAATTATGCCAAATACTACAGGACTAAGCCTCAGCACATACAATGCATCTATTTCAGCCCTGCCTGGGGAGTCACTTTTAGCTTTTCTCTTTACTTTATATGGTTTGAAAAAAAATTTTTAATGCTTTTATCATACAGCTCTAACTTGTGTTAATTTTTCAGCAATCACTAATTTGTCCTGAGACCTCCCAATGTTCTCTGTTACCATGCACTTTCAGAAATAATAGCATGAGATCCTGAAACACTTCTACCAGAGGGCTCTAAAGGCGTCTTGTTACCTTCCCACAGTGGTACCATTAACAAACATCACCACTATTGGTTTAATAATACAGAACATTTTAGACGTATTCAAGATTAATACCAAAGCATCGTCACCAATGCTACCATAGGACCTTTTCACACACTAACTGCCAAAGCTGCGGGATTGACCTCACAGCTGTCAGTTTTCCTCACTGCCTTCCCAGCTTGTTTGCAAGCCTCTCAATAGGGAAGTCCTGGAAGCAGCTATCCCAGTGACCACAGCAAACAGACTTCATCGACCACTTCGCAGGGCACATACTAAAAATATGGCACATGAGGTTCACGCAAAGCTAAGCAGGCTGAAGACCAGCTCTTCATGTAAGGGAATTCTCAACAACCCAGTGAAAACACTCGACTTCAAAATTTCACACTTGCCAGATCTTAAAGAGAGAACACAACTCAGAATATATGGCCAAACTCCTAAAAAAGCATTCAACGGATCTCCTTCAGCCACCTCCTTACAAGCCACCGGGCAGGAATAAGACACTGCATTGATGAAAGAGAGACAAGAAAGCTGAGTGAAGACATAGAGTGCGCTGTGCGAAAGACATCAAACAGGAAGACCAGATTTGTCTCATCCGAGCACGTTTGGGAGTCTGTAATTACCAGAAGCAAAAAGCAAAGTTTGTCACTGCTAAAGTGAGTGTCTTCCAAGGAAGTTTAAAAAAAAGATCCTATCATCCCCTAAATTAAGGTCAGTCTGGGGAAAAAGAAAAGCTACTTAAGACCACCTATTTATTTACAGTCCTTCCAGAAGATGTATACTGAAAGTAACGAGATGTTGAAAAAGAAAAGTGATGGTTAATTATGCCACAGTACAGCTTATACTGGAGGTATTTATTACGTAAACTGTAACTTAATGTGTGTACAGGTATAATTATAACATACATGACAATAATAACTTTATGCACATATTTATCATGGACTGACACATAAGAGAAAAAAAACATTTTAAAAATGAAATTTTAAGCAGTATTTCCTCAAAATCTTCCATCAGCTGATATCTTCTTTAAATATCTACCTCTATCTAGTCTAGATTTCATGTGAATCAACAATCATAAATACCAGTACAGCTTCTTACTGCACACTGTATTTTTTAAAAAAATGGCATAGTCAGACCCTGAAGAACTAGAATGTGGCTTCAGGAAATCATCTAATCAACCCAGTGTCGTGCTAAATGTATACTGTAAAAACCCAGACAAAATACATCCTCTCTAACATGGGATCCCATATATTTTGATCTTCTCACAAGGTTCCAGAAGATCTAGTATTTCAGAGGTCAACTCAGCCTATGATCATTGATGCAAGGTAATCTAAATTCTTGTATAACTTAAGAGGGGAGAAATATAACCGTACAGGTATCTGTAAAAACTCAACTAGATTTTTCACAGGGAAGCTCATGTCAGCTGATTCATTTTGACTGAGAAACAGTCCACTTGTTACTTATTCATGCCCTGCAGAGTTGTGTCAGGACAAGGATGCTTTGAAAGCCTTTTAATTCTTAACCCAATTCTATAACTTTCCAGGGTTAACACAGGACTTTAAAAAATTGTGAAGATTTATAATGAAATAATGATAAATCCCACAAATGCAATAAAGACAACACACAATAAAGTACAGAGCCAGCTGGCCAGTGAACCCTGTTGTTCTGTGGTGCCAGCACTCTCTGAAAGGAAGCTGAACAGAGGTCGAAAAGCCATGAGCAACACAGATCGAAATGATTAAATAATCTCATATGTAATTCGGAGCCTGGGCAGAGATATTAAGCTTCATTTGTCTGCATACACAGCAAAAGCTAAGACAATAATTTTTGCATGTTATGGCCTGTATGAAGGACACCAGACTCAGGCACTGTACCGTGTGCCACTTCTTAGTTGAAATGACAAAGTCCAGCATTTTGAAGTACATACCAGCACAGCTGGGGACAAGGGAGGGACAAGCACTGGAGAAACAAGCAGTTGAGAAAAAGTCTGAACTGATGCTCCAGTGAAAAGATGAACTTACAGCCTGGGGTAGAAATGTGAACGACTGACATGCAGAATGGATGCATCAGACTGGCACACTGATGGAAAAGAGCAAAAAGGGGCGTACTCTTCAGATGCAATAATTTCACAGTTCCTAGTGAAAGGGAATTCCTCACATTAAAAAATGTAGTTAAAAACAACAGCTTGGGGGAGTGGAGAGAAGGAGGCAGAGATGTTGGAAGGAAGAATAATCATTTTGAAACATAAAAGCACTTTAAAATGTACTTTACAGGGGGAAACGCTGCAGGACGCTACCATGTGGCATCAAATGCATGCACAATTTTTTAAGGTACAAATCTCAAGGCACAAAGGCCTTGCAACCCATATCCCTACTGAGACTCCTGCAGAATTACGTCTGCCAGGAGGGGTTTGTGACCTCTGGCCCTATGACAGTGATCACATTAAGCACAATGAACGGCAAAGATTTTTGTGCAGATTTAAATGCCAGCCTCAAAGAGCAGGCATTGCGAATTCTTCCCTCAAACTGTGGTTTAGTGGAGGGAAGAGAGGAAGAGAAGCAAAACTTTGTAATAGGTGGTATTGTATAAATAACCTGCATGATGGAAGACGCTGATAAACTCACAGAAAAGTTAGATGATAAAAGAACATAAACATGTCCATCAGGCAACTACCTCCTGGTGACTACACCCTGGCAATCTCCAAAGGTTTTTTGGAAAGACATCAGCTCAAATTTCCTTCAAAAGACAGTTCCAGGCTCAAACTTCCCTCTCATCCAGGATATAATTTTTAACAACAAAGGAATGTAATTACACATGAATTAACACTAGTGTCCCCATTTCAATTCTGTTCTTCTACTGGAATGGTTACATCCAGAGTATTTTTCCTCCAGACCGCTCTGTATCCTGCCATGACCTCCCTGTCTCAACACCAACCACCCTAAGCAAACGGGCTAACTGCTCACGTGCTTAATTCACTTAACATCCCCTGTACAAAGAAACCTGATCTGGTATTCCAGGAAAGCGGGTAAATAAAGCTCATCTGTTATAACATCATACATGAAAATAGCAGAAGATAATATTATAGGAAAACAATGAACTTATCTAATGGTACCTTGGTAACAGTCACAATGTACACCCAGAGAAATTTGCCAGCAAAATACAGCTAGACTGTTTCCACCTGCCTATTCAAGTGCTGGACATACGAGATAAAAAATGCAATAAACAATTTAATTCATTAATGTTCATTATTAATTGAACTAAATATGGCAAGGAGCTCCCCACATGTATACAGAATGTAATAATTTCTGACATTTGTAATGCAGCACATCTTTTAAAAATTATCTAGATCTTCAACTTAATTTCTTTTTAAACCCATAAAGTGAAAAAAAAAAAACCAGGGGAAATGGTTATGAAGTCAATTTTTCTGTTTCCATTCTACACACAAGAGTATCTCTTAGTATTTACATCATTACACAAAGTAGATTTTTCCTGACTCTATCAACTCTTTGGGACTGATTTAATCTTTAACAGAATAAACAATGTTTTTACTGCACTTCTGCTCCTCTGGTTTATTATGTATTAGTATGTACTTCTAAATACCTGGAATAAAGTACTGGGGCTTTACCATTTCAACAAAGAAATGCAAGCCACTTTTCCTTGTGTTGAAACACACAAGGAAACAAGCTGAAACTACACTGGATTATCCCTATACCTAAATGCAGCACTTACCTTATTTTACTTCATCTTGTAAGGTAACATTCCTAACTCATTCTTAACTAATATCATTACTACTTATAGTAACAGACCTTTGCAATAAGCTGGCAAGCAAATCTCCCCCCGGCCTCCCTCACCTGCCCAGTTGCTCTTAAGCAACAGATATGGGGCTCTGGAATGTGAGGGACCGGCCACAGAGGATGTGGGTGTAGGTGAAGCTCCATCCAGGGGGTTGTCTAGA